GGTACAAAAAAAAAAAAAAAAATTTAAATTTATATTTATTTTTATTTTTATTTTGAGGCAGGATCTCACTAAGTTGCCCAGGCTGCACTTGAACTTGGGACCTCCTGCCTCAGCCTCCCAAGTAGCTGGAATTACAGGCACATGCCACCATGTCTGGCTTAATATCAAAAACTTATAAGGGCTAACAGGCTGCCCCGAGTGGAACATTCTGCACCTGACCTTGTGTGGGCACACGCAAAGGTATAAGGTATTGCCAGGACATGTGTATTAGATGTATATGAAAAACAATGAATTTCATGTTTACTCTTGGTTATCATCCCCAAGAATATCATTATGTATATGCAAGTATTCCAAAATCCAGAATTTAAAACATGTCTGACCTAGAGCACTTCAGATACAGGATACTCAACCTGAATGTGGAAGGCCTGTTTCACTGACCTCATTAATTATTGCCCCCACTCACCACCATTCAACTATAAACGCAGGAAAAAACGCCTCTTGCTTACACCAAGGGCAGAAGGCAATCCGTGTCCATGTGAGAGAGTGAGAGACGCGCCTTCCATGACAGGTCGGATGGTGCCTTTCCAGCAGTGACTGGAGGTGTTGGAGCAATGGAAAGGGGAAGCCTGGCCCACGCAGCCCCATGGGACGGAACCCAGGGTAGATGCACCTTGCTTCCTGTCTTGCAAAGAGAATTGCCAGAGTTGAGCCAAGATGAGTTCCTATCATTTCTTCCCTAGTTTCATCCATTCCTCAGTCTTTGTTTCACATGTTGTGGTAAATTTTCGTCATTTCCTGTATCTTCAGGGCTATGTTGCCTCAAGTACTGTACTTAATAGCAGAGCCCTTAGTCAAATAACTTTAAATTGGATTCTTTGCAAATGTTTTTCTTGGGCTCCATCAGTCTCACTCTTCTTTTTCAAATATTTAGCAGAGACAGGGACAAGGGGAAAAAAATTGAGAACCAAGACCTGTCATGTAAGATCCCATTGATGAATGTAACTGTACTGTATACCTAAAATGTACCAATAAACTCAATGAGAGAAAAAAATACATTAGCAGAGAATCTATTGTCTCTCCAGCCTCATCCCTAACATCTCCATATAGTCATTGTTTTAACTCCTTTCTCACAGATTTATGCTCAGTTACCCTCAGTGAGTAGCTGAGAGCCATCATCATGCACCCAGGTCAGCATCGTGCCTGGAGCCCCTCCCTCTTCATGAGCTGTGGAATTGCCCAAGAGGCAGAAGCCAAAAGAATTGGGATCCTCAATTCAGCGAATGAAGAGGATGAAGTTCCAGGGTGTAGGGAAAAGCTAGTCCTTTCTCACTAGGCTACAGCCAGGGGGCGCTGCAGGATGACACAGGAAGCAGGAAGAGGCAAAGCAGTATCTGGTTGAGTAACCTCTCCCCCACCTCAGCATCAAAGGACAGGCAAGATGACTAAGAAGGCTCTGAGAAGATCAGCAAAACAAACATAAACAAGTCCCTCACCCATCCCAGCTTCAACAAACAGTCAAACACAAAGGGAGTCCCAAAGCAAACAGGTAAGCCAATGAGCCGAGAAAGTGGAGTAGGCTAACTCATCAGCTGTTTATTCTATTACCCTCTGAGCAAGTAACTATCTCTGGTTGCTGAGCTAAGCCTCCTGGGGGTGGGGGGCGATGTACAGGCCCAGCCTCCTCTAAAACTTTGTTCACAGGTGTGGGTGGGAGCTGTGGCACCCTCCAGACTTTTAGCCAGAGTCTTTGGGCAGGATCTTCACTGTTTCCAGGTCCCACTGGCTGACCTGAGGTTGCCTCTGCTCAGCCTCACTGGAGTCTTTTCAGCATCTGCTTCACCATGATCCTGGTTCTTGTGTCCTTCGATTAGATTCTTTGTGTACTTCCTTCTAGGCTCTGCACTGTTGTGAAGATGGGCTGGCT